AGGTCAGTTTTAGCAGCGGCTGAATCAGGGAAGCTGGGGGCAGAGCAGCTCCAATGGTCCGGCTGCCCAGAGCACGTCCGGGTTCCTGATGGTGCCGGACCATCAGGAGAGCCGGACCATCGGAGTTTTACTGTATAACCTAAACACAAAAACAAGTTGCTATGAAGCGACCAACAAATTTGGACTCAAAATTAGGAGAAGGTTACTAAACAACAGAGGCTGAATCAGGGAAGCTGGGGGCAGAGCAGCTCCAATGGTCCGGCTGCCCAGAGCACGTCCGGGTTCCTGATGGTGCCGGACCATCAGGAGAGCCGGACCATCGGAGTTTTACTGTATAACCTAAACACAAAAACAAGTTGCTATGAAGCGACCAACAAATTTGGACTCAAAATTAGGAGAAGGTTACTAAACAACAGAGGTTCTTGCAAGAGGAGCCATGGGGGCAAAAAATCCTAAATGCCTTTAAGACTAATTCTGATAAACTTATGGAGGGGTGGTATGATAGAACTGACTGATGGCATGTGGTCCACTGGCGTAAGCCAATACCAAAAAATCTCCAGCTGCTGATAATGGGATACTAGATGAGGAGGGGCTCTCATTTATTAGAGAGAATTCTTTCCCAGTATCTGCCTGATACGTCTTCCCCACATCCATAGGTGCTAACTGATCATCATTTTTGAGATCAGGAGGAAATTTTCCCTGGGTCACATTGGCAGAGACCATGCGGGGGTTTTTCACTTTCTTCTACAGCATGGGGCATTTGCAGGTTTAAACTAGTGGAAATAGCAAAATTTTCTGTAACTTGAAGTCTTAAAATCATGATTTGAGGACTTCAGTAACTGAAAGGTTAGTGGTCAGGAGCAGGCAGAGTTCCATGGCCAACAATATGCAGAAAATGAAACTAGATGGTCACAGTGGTTCCTTCTGACCTTGAAGTCTGTAAGTTTGAGGCGTGAATAGGGAAAAGCAAGTCAAAGAATAGCTAGACAGACTTATTTAGTGCGAGAGATGTGTGATATTTTGAGTATCACCACAGGTCAGTAATTTTACTTCAACACCAGCAACAGTATCAGAGCCACACATTAATGAAGACTGTTTTTATAGAAACAAGCCAAACAATATAGATGTGGAGTGGGGTCAGGGCTTGGAGTGGAGGCAGGGGGAGCACTCTCCCCTCCCTCCCCCCCAGCATAATAGAAGCTCAGCATGTACACTCTGTAATCTACCTGGGTGGATGGTATGGTCAGAGGACTTTTTTCTTCATGAATGAAAGGATGAGATACAGCATCCTCCTTATTCTGTCAGTCATTCCAGATCAATGATTTTGAATTAATTGGCAGGGACTGCCTCTGACTGACATTACCAGGAACAAATGCTCTAAAGACTGCTAACAAAGAAGCTAATAAGCACGCAAAAAAAAAAAAAAAAAGCTGAAAGCAAGATGACAGGACTACAGGCAATAAAGACTCAGCATTCAGACATGCGGTAAATTATTATTATAGCTCCCAATACCAGAAGTGACATTTGATGCCAGCACAAAATATCAAGCCTCCTTGCCAATTATTTAAGTATAACAGCATGTTTTGATGATCGCAGAAGGTCACTCAGATACAGGAAACAAGATGCAATTTTATAATCTGAATCCTTAGTTCAGGACAAGCATATAATAGGCAGAAAAGAAGAGGGGAAAATAAATCATGTCACAACACAAGCAAATGCAGCGGTATCACAGCTGTTGTAGTCTTATGCTAGTGAGCACAAGAACAGTTTGAAAACTGACATGCTTTTGAAAAGTTTTATGCCCAAGACTCCTCTCTTCTCGCCTCTGAGCCCCAATGGTGGGACCAAAAACAAAACAAAACTAAAAAACAACAGGATTTAAGCAATATAATGCTAGGAATTAGGATCTACGAGTATTAGTATAACATGAAAAGTAAAATAAATAAATAAATAAATAAATAAAATAAAATCCCTTTTAATTAGGGCCATCAATTGAGATGCGTTAATGCCTTCGACTAATGCAGTCCAGGATTAAGTTGTTACATTTTTTAAACACGTTAATGCTGCACTGCCCCTTTGAAGTGCTGCTGCAGCGCTTGTAAGGGGCAGCACAACACGGAGCCGGAATCAGCTGGGCACTCCAGCTGATCCTGGGCTCCGTGTTGCGCTGCCCCTTTGATGCACCACCGCAGCACAGCATGGAGCCCAGAGTCAGCTAGAGACTCCAGCTGATCCCAGTCTCTGCCTTGAGCTGGCCTGTTGGAAACTGTGCCCCGGCACTTCAAAGGGGCGGCGCTGCATGGAGCCTGGGGTCAGCTGGGGACTCCATCTGATCCCAGGCTCCATGCAGCACTGCCCCATTGAAACGCTGGGCCAGCAGCGTTTCAAAGGAGAGGTACACACAATTAATCATGATTACAGGTCATTATCAAGTGATCCATTTCCTGCTTCTGTCAGTCAGATATTTAGAGCCAGCGAAAGCATGGGATTCTGTCTCTGACCAACTTTGCTAACAGTCATTGATTATTATCTCCATGAATCTATCTAATTCTTTTTGAACACACTTACCCTCTTTGTTTGACAGTGCACTGAGTGAAGAAATACTTCCTTATGTTGTTTTAAACCTTATTTATTTCTTTGGGTGACAGCTGGTTCTTATGTTGTGTGAAAGAGTAAATAAAACTACTATATTCTTTCTCTACACCATTCGCAATTTTATAACCTCTAGTATACCCCCCACCCCCACCCCATACTTACCTCTTTAAAAAGATTAGAATTGTTCCGCTTGTAAATCTGTCCTCATATTCAAGCAGTTCTATACTAGGGATGTTTATGTGTAACTGTGTAAATGGTGAACAGATGAGCCCAGGCATTCACCATTACATGCAGGTTCCTGGTATGTGCAGGGAGCCAGCTCCAGGGAGCTGCCTGCAGGCCCACATTGCTGCTTCTCAGACAGCTGGCTCCCCATGTACACTGGCTCCTGGGGAGCAGACTGCTGCTCCGTGTATAACTGAAGTTTTCAGCAGTTACACAGTTACTTACATACATTTTACCATCCCTATTCTACACTCCCTAATCATTGTTACCCTTCTCTGCACTTTTTATAATTTTAATACATCTTTTCTGAGGTGGTGTGACTAGAAAGCATTTTCTGTTTATTCATTTACTAATAGTTCCTAACAATCTGTTAGGGTTGTTTTAGGGTTTTTTTTGGTTTTTTTTTTTGGGGGGGGGGATTAGTTTTTTTTTTCCTAGTCACACTTGGGGTACATCTACACTGTGAGGGTTTTCCAACTGTTCACCATGACTCCAGTACCTCTTTCTTGAAAGGTAAAAGCAAATTTAGATACCTATAATTTTATATTTTATAGATTAGATATTATGTTTCCCAATGTGCATTTATCACTCAGTGACTTTGCCAAATTAAAGTCCTATCTAAAAATGACTAGTCCTACACAGGAGATACTGACAGGATGCATGAAAGAAACTGGTGCAGCAATACAGGATAAAGACATATAGCTGTGAAGAAACCAGATTAAGAGATCTCCTGACATTCTCTAATATTGCCCTAAACAAGAAGAAGATGGTAAAAAATGATGATTCCAGTCATTTTTCTAGTAACATCTTGCACGGGTAAGCTTTTATTTTATGTATCTCCCCAAGATATTTTGAAAGTTAGCTGCTGCAATTCCAATATTTCTGTAATAGTCAAGGATCCTAACTTTATACTGTATTGTGGAGGTTTCCATCTCAAGCAGAAGAAACTTCCTTTACACTGAAGGAAACGACACATAGTAAGACTAAAGGAAAGGCAGGGACTTTAGGGATATTATACTATAGAAATTGCAGCAGCATAACCATATCACCATAGCTACGTCAGCACAACCCCTTAGCACAGATACAGCCTATTAAAAAGCAAGGGGGATTTCTATCAATGTGGAAATACCTTCTCCCCAGAAGATAGCAGCTATATTAATGGAAGCATTCTTTCATCAACATAGCTGCATTTGCAGTGGGGTTAGATCAATATCACTACACTCAGAAGAGTGAGAACAAAATTGCATACCCTCACCAATGTAGCTATGTGAATTTAATTTTTAAGTTTAGACCAAGTCTTGAAAGGATACCGTGTACAATATATGCATCTATCACCCTACACCAGAGGTGGAAAACCTAAGGCCCAGGGGTCGCATTCAGCCCCTGGCTTACCTGGGTCTAGCCCCCGAGGCCAAGAACTTCCTGCCTCCCGAAGCAGAGATCTGGCACTGGCCCTCCAGCCCTGTGTCCCCCTCAGGACTCCACACAGTGCTGGGTGCCAGTGCCAGCTCCCTGCTGTGCCAGAGGTGTGGGGAAGGGGGCAAAGAGCCCTGACCCTCACCACCGAAGTCAGGTAAGCCTGGGGTTGGATCTGACCCACGGGCTGTGCCCAATGGGGAAGGGGGCAGAGGGGGAGGAAGCAGTTCTGTATTCTGCTGTATCCTCTTCCCCTCCCCCTCACTGGACAAGTGGCAGTAAAGCAAAGCACTGACTAAAGGCTTTTCCCCCAGTGCTCCAATTGGCTGTAATCACAGCCTATAGGAGTAGCACAGGACAATGCCTGGGAGTGGTGGTGGACACAGCTGAGTCCCTGGGGAGATATGCCAGATACATGCCCCCTCCCACCCAGATGCTCCTACACACCCACACACACTCAGCCCACCCACCCCAGGTGCTCCTACACTCTCTCACAGACCCCAGACCCAAAGTCCTCTTCTTAGCAGTCCCTTCCCACACTGAACTCCTCAGTTTTGGGTCCCACCGCAGAGCCAGCGGTAGAGAAGTGGTGCCACAAAATCCACTAGCCCTAGCCTATGGCTCTGGTGTGTGCTGGGAATGTGAGGAGTGTCTTTCTGCTTCTCAGTTGGGGACCATACCAGTAAGATGGTTTTCTTTTGGGCACGCATCTCACTTCTATGGCCCCTGATTTTTCTGTGGGTCAGTGGCCCACACCTTATTTACTTATCTGCAGTGGCTTTCACCTCACACAACCATACTGAAATCATTCTTCTTCTACATAAGTGTTGTCAAGGCTTTTAAAACCTAAGTCACTTACGCAGTGTTTTGTACAACATCTTTAACGCAATTTACAAACGTTAGCTCCTTCCCAGAAGATGCTGCAAGGCAGAGATAAGGCAGAAAAACAAGAATGCATTGTTTTTAAAATATTCAAAGCATTATTCAAAATGTATATTTTATGTGCTTATTTTTAAGGATTATAGTTATACAACGATGCTGGCCTTTTTCCATCGATACCTATACACCCTGGTGGTACTACCATGTGTTGTATGCTCACCAGTTTTTACTGGGGATTGTTAGTGTTACCCAGATAGATATCCTCATATGCCACTTACTTCTCTCTTTGAACTGGATTTTAAGCCATTAAATAATGTTAAGTTTTAGAAATAAGAACAGGAATGTCTCAATATCTATTTTGGTGAACTGATTTATTATTCATTATCTTGTTATCCAGTACTGCTACTGTTCCTGCAATAAACACAGTGAGGGAATACACTGCGGAAGACTCTCTGAATAGCTAAAACAAGGTGTCAATTCTAAAATTGCAACATCACTGCTATTCCTGCCTGTATCTTCATGTAGAAACTGGCAAACAGTAACGTGGTAATCTTAGGATACATACAGTTTATCCATTAGGACTCAGAATATGCTCAAGTCTTTTTCCCCTCTGATATATAAAATCAAGACAATGATCTTGACAGATAAAGTTTCATCTACTTTTCCAGCTAATTTCCTACTTAATTGGTTAAGATGTGACTAAACTGGGGTGTTTTTTTTTTAAAAGAAAAAAGCAATAAGAGATAACGTAGACCACAGAGTTTTATAATGTTTTATATAATGTGCTTGTTGGGTAGTTCAAGAATAAATGTTAAACAACTGTAACTGTTGGCCACCCTTCTCTAGTTAGCAGGGAAGAACAATTCAAAGATGCATCAAGCAAACTGCTTGTGTCTGTATTTGATGGCAAGTCAGAAAGATCAGAAGGATTCTTGTGAGTCAGCATGATCACACTATGACTCTTAGGAGTAATTAGAATATTGATTGTGTTATAAAGGAAATATACTGAATGAATTAAAAGTTTGTATAGGCAGTCCCCGGGTTACGTACAAGATAGGGACTGTAGGTTTGTTCTTAAGTTGAATCTGTATGTAAGTCAGAACTGGCATCCAGATTCAGCCGCTGCTGAAACTGATCAGCGGCTGATTCCAGGAAGCCCAGGGCAGGGGCTTCCTGTAGTCAGCCACTGGTCAGTTTCAGCAGCGGCTGGCTTGGGGGTGGCCGGGGGAG